TGGTATTAATGAATGAAGATGTAAATGTTTATCTATTAATTCCCAAACTGATATGTGTAATTCTTTTAGACAAAACAGTGTACCTTTTTGAACTGGTAATTGCGGAACAAAATCTTTATCAACAAAAGAAAAATATTCATGAGCATTACTATGCTTATAAGTAATTTTTGATGGAAAATTGTTTGATGCTAATCGAGTATCAATTGCTCTTTTGATATGCCAGTGGCACAATTGAATTTTCGCATCTGGCCAGGTAAAACGTATTCCAGAAATTTGTCCAAAATCTTTGTCTGATAATACAAACTTTGGCATTATACCTTGTAACTTTATTTCATTAAGAAATATTAAAATGATTTCAGTTCGTACTCTATTTCCTAATTTGCTATTATACTTTAAAAACAAATATGCAATCGGATAACTGGATCCATCAACTTCTGCATATAATACAAATAATTCGAATTCTAAATTGTTTGTATTGTCTATAAATAAAACAATTAAATGTGTATATTAATTAATATGTAAGTATAAATAAATAAATAAATATATATATATATATATATATATATATAGTATATATATATATTTCTATAAAATAAATATGTTTAATAAATACATACATGTTGAATCTATTCTACATTCATATATATTAATATTTAATTGTTTAAAATAATTAAGAAAACCTGTTAAAAATCCAATTGCTCGAACAGGTGTTGTTGTATTCACAATAATTTTATAACATTCTTCTTCAATCCATGTTAAAGCAGATTTAAAAGCATCATCATGCCGAATATATCTATTACTTCCAAAAGTCACCCACCAATAATAGACTTGTTTCTGTACAATAGACATATTCATATCCTTATTAATCAAATTAGCATAAATTTCTCGCAGTAATAAATCGATATTGTCTTTAATATATTGTTTGATATCTTCAGATACAGCTACATTATTTGGCTTTGAATGTAAAATATTATGCTCTACTGAAAGGTTGGCAATCTGAATTGCTAAATTAATGTTTACTTTAATACAACTATCACAATTATATCGCTCCATTGTTGTAGAATCTTTTTGTTTTTCTGGATCATTATGTTTATGTGGTTTTTTCGCCATATTGGTTCGTTGGGAACAAAAATACCAAATACTTGTAGCTTGTTTGCCATCATATTTGTTATTATATCTAATAATAAAATAACATTATTAACATATATAATGACTTTATTTAAAATAACAAAATGATTTGTATAGTTATTATATCCAATTATATTTGGCAACATCACTAACAATATTTATCAAAATATCAGCAATTTCTTTAATTTCTTTTGAAGACTTAATGTAAGAGGAAATATCAACAGAACATGAAAAATGAAAACTTAATGGATCGTTTTCTTTATCATTGTCTGTGATTATTAAATTTGAATGCAAATCAAGAAGATCATAAATATAATCTGCAAGATTATTTGGTTCTAATATTTCATTCGGTATTTCATTTGGTATTTCATTATTATTGTTCAATAACTTATTATTTTCTCTATATCGCTTTGATTGAGCTCAATATGCATTACAAGTACAAAGTTTTTTGTTGGGCTTGAGATTTTCAAACTCCAGTTTAGCTTTATAAACTTTACACCTAGAACAGAAAACTTGATCAGTAGTACTTTGTCCATTATGTCTTTAAATAAATAAATAGTATAAGTTAGCTAATATTGAAATTATTTGATTGAAAATTGCTTAAAGATTGGTCTTTTACTTACATGTTAATTATTTTTTTAATGGCGTTCTTTTTTTTAAAAAAATTTCTTATTCACCACATGACACCTTACGCAGCAAGACAACACACAATGCTTCACCTTCATACAGCAACTTCACCTACACACGACACCCACAATACGGCAACACAATATATTAACTTTCTCCTTTTATGCACAACACTTTATACGACTATACAACAATATTATTTTATAGTATGGAATTTATGTTTGCTCAAAAAAATGAAGTAAGAAAAATTCAATCATCCACTTAATTGAACCTCTATTTATTGAGTTATCGTTATGCAAATAAACTTAAAATTACAATGAAACATTACATCATCGTAGACTCGAAATTACAGTGAAACGATAAGTTACTATATTAATTAGTACTGTAATTTTATTGGCCAATTTTTGTCGATCAGTCACGTGTCCGCATTTTTTTACTGGGTACGCTGGGGTCGATTTACTTATTTGCGCCGGTGATACAAACCAAAAGAGG